TTTATTTCCCCAGGGATGACAAAAAAAAAACCATTCTTAACACAAATGCCACTTGCCTGCCAAATTTCAAGTCCCTGCTTCAAAGAATTGGGTGCAGGAGCTTTTCAAAGCAAGAGTCACCAGAAGTTGTTAAAATGGGGAAAATAATACATTTTACTTTGCCCTTGCTTTTGAAAATGACTGAATTATTTTGGTCAAATTTTTATTCCCTCCAAAAGTTCAGTATGAGGGAGATATCCAGCATGGACAATTTCAGATCAAATGGTTAAAATCTGGCAAAGTTATAAGCAACTGAATAAAGAGCCTTATACACTTCTACCCCAATATAACACGACCCGATATAACACGAATTCGGATATAACGCGGTAAAGTAGTGATCGGGGGGGAGGGGCGGAGCTGCACACTCCGGCGGATCAAAGCTAGTTCGATATAACGCGGTTTCATCTATAACGCGGTAAGATTTTTTGGCTCCTGAGGACAGTGTTATATCAAGGTAGAGGTGTAATGGGAAGTGCTGGGCAACCTTAATATTGGGTGCTGCTTCCAACCCCTGCCTATAATTAAAGAAGATCATTTGCAAAATGCCATATTCAAACCTTATATAAAGTTTTCTTCTTTGGAGTCACTGATTTCACAGTCTTTAAATATACTGTAATGCTGAAACCTCACTGAAGGTGGTGGGTGTAGTAACTGCCCTTTATTTAGGATAAATGCAAAAAAAGCTCCTTTATGCAAAAACAATAGGAGCCACCATCCAAAACACAGGCCACATGCAAGGCTGGAGTAGATGAGCCAGGCAGTCTGAACGGTTTTCCTCTGGGTCTGAATGCAAATGCATGGGGTGGAAATTGTTGGATGGAACTGTGTGTGCGAGAGAAGCTTTGGAGTTGATTGCTGTCTGGAAAGAGGCTTGGGACTGTTAGCAAAGGAATGGCCTCCTGTTTTGATTTCTACTATATTCAAGGAAACAATCCTTTATATACATTCTTGGTAAATAAAGAGGATTGTATCAGAGAAATATCTGACACTGTCATCACGTCTCCACCTAAGGGAAACAACTCGCAAAAACCTGGATTTTGGCTAACTGCTCAGATCAAAAAGGAGAAACAATACTTTCATTCTGCAACTGTGGTCCTTAATAGAGGACTCAAAAATATACTATCTTGAGAGATATTAAATGAATTTTATTCACTTCACAGCCTTAAACTGTTCATGTACATTGAATATGTACTCAGGCAATTTTCTCTCTCTACAGTTTGACATAAAAATAGTCAAACATATTGGAGACCATACAATAAAAAACAATAGAATGCGACATCTTCCATACTTTCCTACTGTTATTACTCAACATATATACGGATCCAAGCCAGTTAATGCCAGATAATGATGTGAAAACAATTGCTTAGGTGTGCTAATAACTGCAAATTTTGAACAAGCCTAGGACTGGAAAAGAAGCATAAAATACAAAGCTGGATAAGGTTTGGGATTCTGGAATGTTGGTTCACAAGTGGTGACATTCCCCCACAGCCCATATGAACAAAGTCTGGGGACAAAAAGAAGTTATTTTAGGACAAGGATTGCAGCCCCAAAAATATATAGATTAAAGATAGAAGAATGATTTGGCTCTCATGGCTTGTCTACATGGGGAAGTTTTGCCAGTTATATGCATCCAGTATCCACAATCTTTTAATGTTTTCTTCTACTTCTTCCCATAATAACCAGCACTCACCTTTGTGCCTCTCCTCTCCCTGCTCCTTTATCAGTCCTTGTGGTACTAAATTAGACTTTAAGCTTCTAAGGGTAGACACCTGCTTTTTTCTTCTGTAAAGCACGATGCTCATTTATGGCACTGTAGAAATTACTAATAAGTAATCATTAAGGTCTCAAATAAGACAGAGACCTTATTAACTCTATTCTTCATATGAGCAAACCTACACCTTCTTCAGACAATGCACCTGATTTCCTCAACCTCAAGGAGAGCCTCAAAACTGGACTGGAGCTAAATATCTATATTGTCTGCAAGCAGTGATACAACATGAAATATAAAAGCAGCTGTGGGAATACAAACAGAGGCCAAACAGTCAATCATGCATGATGCACCATCCAGTCCCCAACTGGATATTACTCGAGTGACAGAGAGCATTCATCCTCACAAAAATTTGAGATGGAGAATTTGTTCTGACCTAATTTTCTTTTTGTGATGGTATTGCATTTTCTTTGTGAAGGACGTGTGTTATTACAATAATTATAATGAATAAAATCAGTATTTACAGAGGCAGGGCCCTACCAAATTCACGGTAATTTTTGGTCAATTTCACGGTCACAGGATTTTTAAAATAAAACATTTCACAGTTTCAGATACTTAAATCTGAAATTTCATGGTGTTATAACCAGGGAAATCCCAACCAAAAGGAGGCTATGGGGGTGTCACAAGGCTACTGTAGGGTGGTTGAGGTATTGACACCCTTACTTCTGCGCTGCTGCTGGCAGCTGAGCAGCCTTCAGAGCTGGGCGCCCACACCCTTCTCCCCAGCCAGTCCAAGGCCCCTTTAACCCAGAATGCCAGGGCGCTGGGCCTGGAGCTGGGGTGGGGCAGGGCTGGGGGTGCCCTAGCTAAGGGCTTCTACCATACACCAGGCTACAGCTGCTGGTCTTTGCAAGGCTATGGAGGGATGGGACTTCCTCTTCCCCTGCAGGGGCCACTCCTGGGGGCAGGTCAGACACTCCTTCAGGAACCTCTCCTGACTGCTCTGAAGGCAGCACCACTGCCAGCAGCAGTGCAGAAATAAGGGTGGCGTGGTATGGTATTGCCACTTTTATTTCTGTACTGCTGCTGGCTGCAGCAATGCCTTCAGAGCTGGGTGGCCAGCCAGTGTCCACCACTCTCCAGCCGCCGAGCTCTGATGGCAGCGTAGAAGTAAATGTGGCAATGAACCCCCCCTACAATAGCCTTGTAACAGCCCCCATGGCCCTTTTTTTTGGATTGGGACCCCCAGTTTGAGAAACGCTGAAAGGTATAGGGTAAAAGTACACAAAAGACCAGATTTCATGGGGGGAGACCAGATTTCAGAGTCCGTGACATGTTTTACGTGGCCATGAATTTGACAGCACAAGATATCTAGAGGTCCAAGTCAGTGCAAAGATAGAAGCATAGGACTGGAAGGGACTTTGAGAGATCATCCAGTCCAGTCCTCTTCACTCATGGCAGGACTAGGTATTATCTAAACCATCCCTGACAGGTGTATGTTTAACCTGCTCTTAAAAATCTCCAATGATGGAGATTCTACAACCTCCCTAGGCAATTTATTCCAGTGCTTAACCACCCTGACAGTTAGGAAGTTTTTTCTAATATCCAACCTAAGCCTCCCTTGCTGCAATTTAAGCCCATTGCTTCTTGTCCTATCCTCAGAGGTTAAGAAGAACAATTCTTTTCCTTCCTCCTTGTAACAACCCTTTTTGTATTTGAAAGCTGTTATCATGTCCCCTCTCAGTCTTCTCTTTTCCAGAATAAACAAACACAATTTTTATAATCTTGCTTCAGAGGTCATGTTTTCTAGACCTTTAATCAGTTTTTTTGCTCTTCTCTGGACTTTCTCCAGTTTGTCCACATCCTTCCTGAAATGTGGCATCCAGAACTGGACACAATATTCTAGTTGAGGCCTAATCAGCGTGAAGTAGAGTGGAAGAATTACTTCTCATGGCTTGCTTACAACACTCCTGCTAATACATCCCAGAAGGATGTTCGCTTTTTTTGCAACAGCATTACACTGTTAACTCATATTTAGCTTGTGGTCTACTAGGACCCCCAGATCCCTTTCTGCAGTACTCCTTCCTAGGCAGTCATTTCCTATTTTGTATGTGTGCAACTGATTGTTCCTTCCTAAGTGGAGTATTTTGCATTTGTCCTTATTGAATTTCATCCTATTTACTTCAGACCATTTCTTCAGTTTGTCCAGATCATTTTGAATTTTAATCCTATCCTCCAAAGCATTTGCAACCCCTCCCAGCTTGGTATCATCCACAAACTTTATAAGTGTACTCTCTGTGCCATTATCTAAATCATTGATGAAGATATTGAACAGAACCGGACCCAGAACTGATCCCTGCAGGACCACACTTGTTATTCCCTTCCAGCATGACTGTTAACCACTGATAACTGCTCTCTGGGAATGGTTTTCCAACCAGCTTTGCACCCACCTTACTTACCTTTGCTCCATCTAGATTGCATTTCCCTAGTTTGTTTATGAGACCGTCACGCGAGACAGTATCAAAAGCTTAACTAAAGTCAAGATTTACCACATCTACTGCTCCCCCCATCCAGAAGGCTTGTTACCCTATCATAGAAAGCTATCAGGTTGGTTTGACATTATTTGTTTTTGACAAATCTATGCTGACTGTTACTTATCACCTTATTATCATCTAGATTGTACAAATCGATTGCTTAATTATTTGCTCTATTATCTTTCCGAGTACAGAAGTTAAGCAGAAGTTATGTGTGAAAGTAAGGTAAAAAGGGGTTTGCTCTTAATGAGAATGCACATGAACTCCTGCAGCAAGGTAAAATATTGCAATAGAATACTTTTTTAAAAAAAGTCATGCATCTCTCTGAAACTCTTCCCCTTTACAGTATGGAAGCACCTGGGGCATGCTACTGGAACATATTTTCGTGAACATCTCTTTGGAAGCTCCAAAACTTACTGACTGAACTTTGCACACAGGCCTGTGTGCACACAGCCCAGGGGTTAAAGCGAGCTGATAAATATTAGTTTTAACAATGAGAAAAACATCTATAGGTTTAAAAAAAAACAAATTTGCTATCATTGCTACAAATATTTATCTATTTCCACTAGACAAATGTGGTGGCACATCTCATAGAACCTATACAATTTCTTGTCTGAGTAAAGAGACATACTTAAAAGACCTCAGTTTTGATCTTGTTAAATACATTTAACACAGCAACAGAAAAAATACATTTTAATAGGATAGTGTTCATCATTTACCTTGTCCTAAAGTTTGCAGGATGAGGATGTCCATCATATAATGATAAATAATCATATTCCTCTTCTAGAGCAAAAGACTGAAAAACAATCTGTATTCTGTTTCGTTCTTCTGCTATTATTACCCATGTACAGTTTGCACCATTTGGATATCCATATGGGAAGCCAGGACTTTCTATAGTGCCATTAAGACCTTTTAAAGTTCCACCACAGGTATAAATAAACCCTGAAAGAAGAGAAAGAAGAGTAGATTAATAACATGTTAACACAGATATACAGTAAAATATGCCAACGGAATTCATGGCCTCTATTAATCAGCAAAATAAAGTATCATGACATGTAATTGTCCTGTGCTACCTTAGAAGAGACAAAGCTTAGAATATCATGACCATGTACTGTAGAAAGATACATATAATGAAGTCAAATGTCATACAAGCAATATGGAAGGCTCCGGACAACATTTTGTAGCAACTATACAGAAATGTGATTTTTTTTTCAACATCTTCTAAGGAAGTTGCTTTTCCATGACTCCTGGCAACAGGCAGATATTTGAAGCAGCCAAACAGAAAAAAATTAATGTTCAAGAGGGGAAAACAGTGCAGATTCCCTCACAGCTAATGTTATCATTGTAAAGAAGCGATATCATTATTAAGATGATATAAGCCACTATCTAAATGAGTTTGGGTCGAATCTTGAATGAAGGGGTAGCTAGCTGCATGTGACTTCATTCAGGAGAGACTGAGATTGTGTCAGTGTGTTGGGGAAAGGAGGCAGAAAAACTGACAAATTATATTTGCTCTCTTGGCAGAGGAACTGTGACCACAGTTTGTAATACGGATGCATATTATGTATTAGATTCTAGGCTGCTCTTGGGCATCGAAATGATGACTGGTCAGGAGTATTTTTTTCCATGAGAGACTAATACAATATTCTTTCTCCAATGATATATGTGTCACCTCCAAATTAGGTTATTGTAGTTAACTTTTGGGGGGGCTGTTCCAAAACTGAAACTAGCAAAGAATGTCTCGACTGGTTGTTACAAGGATTTTCCCATTGGGAGCACATTATATCAGTGCGTAAGGAACTGCATTGGCTGCTAATAGGTTTCTGGGTTGAACTCAAAGTATTACTATTAACTAAGAAAAGTTCACAGCCTGATTACCTGAGAGATTGTCACTCTTCTTGTGCCACACTGCCACAGCTAAGGCACTTGAGTTGGACCTCCTTTATTATATGAGGAAAGGGACTGCTAGCAGAGTATCATGCATGAGGAGTCCTTTATTTTGGAATTCACTCCTGCATCCCCTTAGTCCAGATCAATTACAAATTAGATTTGTTAGCCCTCCTGGTTTCCTCCTAAATCCATCTCCCAGCTCCCTTTCCCCGGGATTTGGGATCGGGGTAGGCTGAGAGTCATAGAGCCATGTGCATTATGTGCATTATGGTTTAGTTTTATTTTCTTATACTTGCTGGATGATATTTAATGTCTCAAAGTGGGATGAGCTACATTTAATATATTTATATTGTATGATTAATTGTATTGTGTATTTTCAGTGTATGTAATGTTGCTCAGTAAATAGATTTATAAAAGCCAACATATGGACAAATGCTAAATATTGACACACACAGCTCACATGCATACGATTTAACTCATTAAATATTTTTTTCCCAGGCATGCATGTTGACAAGTGTGTTTGTCCATCCCTTCCTCTGAACCATTATGCAGAAATCTTCTACAAAGATCATGTGATCATCCCATAAAATAGATTTCCCTGGGGTTAGTAGTAGGAAGAACAGATCCATTTTCTTCCTATCTTCTATGTCTATGTTTACCTCCCTCACTGGTAGATAGAAGCTGGCACTTATGGGACTCCGTTTATTACTATTTTACTTTGCATAGCACCATACCATAGGTGTACAACACCAAAAGAAAGAGAAAGCTCCTCTGGGGAAGGCATTTTGGAATTGCCTTGTCTGGTCTTAGAGTCACACTGTATTACCAGCTGCTGTAAATTAGCTCCGAGGATTCATTTTCATGTCAGATTTGCCTGCCCACTTTCAGCTGTCAGCAGCTTCCATTTTCAGAAGAGTCTGTTTTATTTATCAAATCCTGCATCTCTGCCTCATCAACTCGATCTGTTTTTAAATCTCATCTGAAAATGATCTTTTATTTATTATTTAACTCAGACTGTATAATTTACCTCTCTAAAAACTTTTGGGATATAGTTTGTATGGAAAAAATTCCACCAAATAAAGCTGAATTATTTACTAGTTATGTGCCACAGAATCCCTAATGGAAGCACAACCTTCCCAGTAACAAGTTTTCTAAAATCTCCATCAATTTAAGCCTTTCTAGCATTGCATCTATACTGGAACTCCATCTTTGAACACAAGAAAGGAAGAACACGATGGAGAGCTGCACCTAGCATTTTCTATTTGTTTTGGGCCAGCTCTAATAATATAGACTAATACATTTGGTTAAAAACAGTAGCAGATTTTAGCAAACAGTCTGAAGCTGCACAGAAGTTCATTGTGGATCACAGTGCTGGAAGGGAAAGAACAGCTACTCCCCTCCCTACCCAAATAGGTGAGCCTTGACTTTGCCTCCTCAACTTGCACGAAGTAAGAGGTCGCTGAAGATTTTCAGCCCTCCCTCCAGAGCAAAAGTGGGAACCAGAGAGGATTGAAGGATGGCCCAAAGTCATAATTCAGTCTCTAGTCTACTCCTGAGGCACTGCCACTATGTGCTGCCCCTTGCTTAAAGATAGCATATATGTTGTCCAATTTCTTTAGAATTATTTTGCTTATAAAATACAATATAGAGATACACAGGATATGATGAAAAAAATCTGTATCTAAACAGGAGATGAAAGTTATCGTATTCTAAATAAGGATTTAACTGAAGAAAAACAATGAAATATCATGTAAGATTAAGTGACAGTTAATACTGAACATAAAATTATTAATATTGGGCCTCATTCTGCTCAGATTTTTCATCTTTTAGGAATCTACTTTTTCTTCGACATATACATCTTTATTCTTCCCTCATCCAATTAATTATTCATATTTTGCAAAACGACATAATTTTATATTATCTTTCAGAGAGAGTTAATGGTTACCAAAATGATAATATACATTGTGTCATAAGACATTTATTCAGTTCTGGAGCATCAAAAACAAAACTGAAGTTTGATTTTGACTAGTTATGCTTTTTTGACCTTTAATATGAGAACATGTCAATGGAATCTATACACCAACTGCTTTAATCTCTGCATTCAGATGGTAATACTTCTTTACTTGAACTCTTCAACTCCGATGGTCTAACTTGGAAATATTCAACATACAATATAAGGTTATTTAATAACTGGCTCTCATTAGATGTTAAAAACCATCTAAATTATTTACATAAGACATAATTAGTGATAACACTTAGCACTTTTGTATTGTGGTCTTTTTCATCTGTAGATCTCAGAGCTGCACACAGAATTCAAAATGTAAGTATTAGTTACAAATTATTTCATTCTCATTTCAAGAGAATGGTGCCTCAGACTAGAAAGTCTGCAAAAGCTTTAAGTAAAAAGGGAAGTATTCACTTAATTAAATGTGAAAATGAATACAATCAGCACAATATGCCCATATTTATTTCTATTAAGTTCAGTTTATTTATTCTGATTCTAACTTTTCGATTTGCAAAAGATTGTTTACATTGATCATGTTTAATTACATTGTAAAAACATGGTTGATGCACTTCATGGAGCATCGTTCTTGCTCTCACCACCTTTGCATAGTTCCCTTTCCCTTCCCTCATTAAACATCTGTCATTCACACATGCTTCCTCAGATTTCATTTCTCCCACAGCATTCAGTTTGTCAAACTCTGACTTTTCCAGTGCTGTCAGCTTCGTCCTATTCTTGATTGTCCATTGTCCATTCTGTTGGCTCCATGGTCATAGGCTTCTTCAATCCTACCCTCTCCCCTACACTTGCATCTTTCACTCCCCTCTCTGAAGACAACATGTGCTTACTCCACACCTATGCTCTTCCTGTTCCTGAAAATTCAATGACTACTCTAACTTTGCCCACTACAAGATTAATTTTTCTTTTTCAGTTCTACCCTCTTCCTAGCCAAAAAAAGTGCTCTCTCTCTTTCTCTCTCTCACACACAAACACGCACATGCAATCTCCCTGCCTTCCAAGAACTGCTCTTTTGCTTAACCAGTTTTATAGCGGCATCCATCGTCATAACATGTGGTCGATTCAGTCACACTGATTACAATACAAAAAAACCCAAGAACAAAACAGTTAATCAATTGCTAAAAATGGTCCTAAACACAAAACCTTCTCTGTCTCTTTTTACTGCTGCATCTGTACCCAGAATATTGCCACATTAATGTTAGGACAAAATTGAACCTATTCAGTAGCACATGAGTTCTCCACATGCCTCTGCTTTCTTCTCATATATGCCCTCCTTTATCCCAGTCTTTATGTTTAAGGTCTCTACATCTGTAATACACATCCCCATCCTTCCAACCTCTTTCTTATCTCCAGCTTCTCACTCTTTCTTCTGTCTTATTACCATTCATCTTCAAGCACACATTGTGTTTCCTATCCTTAAACCCTCCCTTAGTCACATCATCCTTATTCCACTGCACCACCTTCCAGCTCTTTCAGAAATCTGTCTACTCATAGAACCAAAATTCCATTCCCAAGACTCTGATCCTCTTCAGACTAGCTTCCACCCCCTTTACTCAACCAACTGTCTTTCTCCTTGCCAGGGGTAAGCCACACTGTTCTACACTCTGCCTTTGGTCTCTCTACTGCCTTTGATAACATGGACCAATCCCTTCTCCTCAAGGAACATCTCTTCAATGAATTTTGGTGTGACTACTCTTCTGAGTCTCCTCCTACTCCTTTGAATTCTCCTTCAGTGCCACTTTCAATAATTCTTCTTTCTCCCTCCTTCCGTGTTGGTGGTGTTCATGTATTCATGCTTGTTCCGCTCCTTTCCCCCCACACACACACTTGCTTCGTAGGTGTTCTCACTTGCTCCCATGGTTTCAGCTAACACTTTTACACCAGATGTGCCATAAATCTAGCTTTATGGCTGAAGTTCGATCTCAGCACTTACATGTCAGTGACAGTTGCCTTAGAGAAATAAATCCATCCCATTCTGTCTATTCTCATCTCCTCTCTCTCCATGGATGACCCACTACTTTTTCAAAATAAA